ATCCCCTACCCCCGGGTCAGGAGCGATAAGCTCGCTCGACCCCCGTCGTCCCCCGCGCATCCGCGTTCGTAGGGAACTCGGGATCGTACTCGGAAACCCCCACACACACACAAGTCACTTCTCGGGTCTCGTCCTCTCGGCCCTTCGACCCTAGCGTCCTAGCGGCCGTTACGGGAGGCTTGAGTGCATCATTTCTGGAGCCCACCGCGAGGGTTTTCAACTTCCCGACCTCCGCCTTCGATCCGCGGTCTGCGCCCGGTAGTCATTGCGCGAACACGAGCAGTGGCAACACGGCAAGCGAGCCTCCTCACCGAGCTCTTAACCGTACGGTTCGAAGCCCTTCAGCGCGCGGCCATCGCCAACGCCGACAACGCGAGCGTGGACATCATCTTCGACGCTTTCTGCAACATCCTCGATAGGGGAATAGAAGTCCTCGCAGAGGAACCAGAGGCTGCAGCCACTTTCTTCAGCGACATCGCGCTTTGCATCAGCCCCGCCGACCCCCAGACTCCCCGAGAGTTCACTCCGATAATCACCACTCCTGAGACAGTACCGCTACCCGATTCTCCGAAGTCCAGCCCTCTCACTCCGATAAGCCAGCTCCCTTCGCCGTCAAGAAACGTTCACCCAACCCCCGATACCTCCTCTCTGAGCCCGAGGCTACCAGCGAGCCCATCGCTCCCGATCCCAGGTCTCAGCCCCCGATTCCTTACCAACCAGATGCCCGACCACGACGAAGAAGAGGGGCAGCCACCGCAGATGGAGAACGCGGCAAAGCGTCCCGACCTCCCTTCCAGAGGCCATAGTACGGCCCCGACGTTCGACCCCAACTCGCCCAGAACGCTCCGACGTTTCTTCGGGGACCTCGAGGTGCTGTTCAGGCGGTGCGGTGTCGACACGGACCTCGAGCGCAAGGAAGCGGTTACCAGGTACCTCCCGATCGACGTAGCGGACCTCTGCGAAGGCTTGCCTTCGTTCGCCACTGGCTCTTACCAGCAATTCCACGACGACATCGTCGCGTTATACCCCGGCGCCGAAGAATCGAGGAAGTTCGCTGTAGCGGACGTCGAAGGCCTCGTCGCCCGCCGAGCGACTGCCCCGATGACGACGATCGGGGAGTTGTCCCAGTACTACCGAGACTTCTTGGGCATGACCTCCTACCTCATCGGGCGGTCGCGGCTATCCACGTCGGAGCAGTCGCGCCTATTCGTCCGCGGGATCGTATCACCCCTATGGGACCAAGTCTCGCAACGACTACAGCTTAAGGACCCCGACCACTACCCTGACGACCCGTACCCACTCGTCGACGTCTACGCTGCCGCCAAGTTCGTACTGCACGGCACTCTCACCTCCGCACCGGCACCGGCGGCTCCGGCGACGGACCCATCGGGGTCGGGGCCGGTAAAGCTGGAAGACCTAGCGCCGTTTCTCAAGTTCCTCGCGCAGTCGGTAGGCGAAGGATCCGCGAGCGCAGCCGCCGCCGCGGGCGGGGCGAACGCGGGTGCCGCGAACCAGAACCAGCCGAACTACGGGTTCTGCCACTACTGCGGAGACGCGGGATGCCAGGTGCGCACTTGCCCCCACGTCGCCGAAGACATCAAGGAGGGGAGGGTAGCGCGCAACGCGGAGGGAAAAGTGGTCTTACCGAACGGTAGCTTCGTCCCCCGCAGCATCCCCGGTCTTACCATGAGGGATCGTATCTACGAGTGGCATAGGCGAAACCCGAACTCCCTCGCCGTCCCGACGGCGGCGCAAATGGTCCTACAAATCAGCCGCGCGGTACCCATGACCAGCACCTTCTCGCTCACCTCGGACGATCGCATCGCTCAGCTAGAGCGCGAGCTATTCGCGCTGCGCCGCAATCGGGAAGTGTTCGACGGCGTAGAGCTCCCCGCACCCAAGCGTAGTCTCCCCCGGCCGCCCGAGCAAGCATCGGCCTCGCGGCCGGCCCCGACCACCGACAGTACCCCGAACGCCCCAGCGACCGACGACGACAGCCGCGAGGAAATAGCGACCAAGGCGACAGCGAGCGCCCCCCGACAACTGCCTCGGCCGCCAACGCCACATCCCGCCGCCGGAATGCCCAACGCGCCAGCGGCGCCCGTGGAACTCCCCGAGCACCCTTTCGCGAAGGCTCGCGACGCGACATACGCACCCCCTAAGGTCAAGAACTTCGGGGGGCCGCCTCTCAAGGACAAGGACCGCGACAACGCGTATCGTACGCAGGTCCCGGTCCACCAGGCGAAGTTCGCGGAGGAGATCTTTGCACGGTCGATGAAGACGCCGCTTTTCACACTCACTACGGAAGAGCTACTGTCGGTCGCGCCCGAAGTCCGCGCGAAATACCGCGAGGCCATCACCCCGAAGCGCATCCCGACGGAGGCGGTGCGCTCAGTGAACTACGTCGCGTCGACCGAGGACGACGAGGAGGAGGACTACGCCGCGCAGGTGTCTTGTCGCGGGGAGCCTCTACAACCGGGGGGAGTCATTCTCCCGGACCCGTACGAGGTGTATCTACGCCGGCTCGCGCCAGGCAACGATCCCCGCGAGCTACGAGTCGCTAAGGAGTCTCACGCGCTGCGCTCGGTCGTCGGACTCGTCGACAACAAGGAGTGGGTAGAAGCGATCATAGACCCGGGCTCGCAGATCGTCGCAATGTCGGAGCACGTCTGCAACGCTCTCGCGCTCCCCTACGACCCGACGATCCAACTCTTCATGCAGTCCGCGAACGGCGACGTCGACCGATCGCTAGGCCTCGTTCGTAACGTACCCTTCTGCGTCGCCGACATCGTCCTCTACCTCCAGGTCCACGTTATACGCAACGCGGCCTACGACATCCTGCTCGGGCGACCTTTCGACGTTCTGACTAAGAGCGTCGTCAAGAACTTCGAGAACGAGGACCAGACGTTGACTATTGTGTGCCCCAACACGGGACAGACGGCGACCATCCCGACTGTTCCGCGGGGCGCGGCTCGGTTTCGAGGGCCCGACGTTCCAAGGATCCTTCGTCGAGGAATTGATTGATTCCGACGACGGAGAGATCGCGGTCATCATCACTGAAGAAGGAGGCGTACCGCGCATCTCAGCATATACCCAGTCCCTAAACAAATCTTGCGAAAACCCTCTCCCGATCCCCTGCTCTCTATCTATCTGCCTGTGACCGTCTCCCCGATCTCGTCGCCTCATCCCATCAGAAAACCCAAGAAACCCAGAATCACGCCGACTCGCACTCGCATACCCGTACCCCGCCCCAGTCTACGTCCCCGAATACCCAGAACATCGGCACTTTCACCCTAGGGGAGACCGACCCTACCGGGCTCTTCGCCTTCTCATTCCCCGACGGAAAGGGAGGCGATATACGCGTCTTCCCGGGCGCCGTCCACCCCGAGGCGCCCCCAGACCCCGAACGAACCGCCGAAGTCTTCCTGTCCACCAAAAAGAAGTACAAGCCCGTCGCTAGGAAAGTGAGGCCTGTCCTAGGATCCACCTCCGAGCAGTTCCGCGTTGAGCGCAACATCACCGGGGACCCCTTGGCGGACATGCCCGAGCTACCGACGAACCCGACGGACTTCGTCCCGACTGGCCGCTACACGGCTGAGCGACAAGAGGCGTTCAACAAGGCGCACTCCGAGGACTTCCTATGGCCAGAGGAACGGAAGTTGCTGCACAACTTCGTCTCCCTCCAGAACGAAGCCTTCGCGTGGAACGACGACGAACGCGGCTGCTTCAAGCCCGAATTCTTCCCCCCGTCGACTTCCCTGTCGTCGCGCACACCCCCTGGGTGGAGCGGAACATCCCGATACCCCCCGGACTCTACGACGAAGTGTGCGCGATCCTGAAAAAGAAGATCACGGCCGGTGTGTACGAGCCGTCCAACTCCGCATACCGATCCCGCTGGTTCTGCGTCCTCAAGAAGGACGGGAAATCCCTTCGTATCGTGCACAGCCTAGAACCGCTCAACAAAGTCACAATCCAGCACTCC